ACATAGAGGAAGAAAAAAAAAGAAAAAGAAAAAGAAGAATGGAAGAAGATGATCGAAAGAGGGGAGGGGAAGAAGATGGATCAAAAAAGGAGATGGGTAAATTTGTAATTTTTTATTTTTTTATTAAGGCAAAATCGGTTGATGAGTTGGTGATGAGTTGGCAATAACATGGCTTAAAAAAAAATTCCAGATTAACGTTTTTTTAAATTATTTTTGCTATGTCATCAAAAAAATTATAAAAAAATGCCATGTGTCGTAGTTAACGATCTAAATTGACAGAATGACTAACTGTGTGCATTTCTTAGAGTTGAGGGATCAAAAAAGTGCAAAAAATTATTAAGGGACCAAAAATGTGCAACTTACTAAAGTTGAGGGACCAAATTTAGCATTTAACCTTAATTAATTTCATTAATCACACATTTAAAATAATCACCTTAATCAATTAATCATTTTATTTTTTTTTTTTTCACTTTTTTTTTTTACTCTACTAGTTTAGTTTTATTGGACCTATTGGATTGGATTGGGTCGGCCTGACCCAGAAACATGAACCATGTATCAATTCGGGTCCAAACAGATTAAACTAAACACAAATTGGGGGTTTTTTAGGTTTCTCTCTTTTTTTTAATCAAGCTCCCAACAACAAAAAGAAAGCGAACGGGATATCAAGCAAATTTCATATGTAGCAAACAAACAACCAATAATGAGGAAAGAAACTTCAGTATTCTTAAATTAAGATCATCATTTACAAGAAATGCAGCCAACAACAAAACAAGAAAATGAATCTATATTTCCAGAAACGGCAGAACTTTGGTTTGCCAATTCGGATTCCGATGTGTGTACCCCTCCCACGGGATATGCCCAGATCATTCCCCTCATCATTGGCCCCCAAAGTTCCTCTATTTTAGAGTATAACCGCAAGAGATGAGACTGACGATTGAAAAGCGAAAGAAGGATCTTAGGGCTGTCTGGTTGCTGTGAAACAGAGAAGATAATCTACAGTTGCTGCAAGATGGAGAAGGTGGATCTCCGGCAGTGAAAGGAAAGACGAAGAGGGCGAAGAGCTGAGGTTTCCCGTGAGCAGTGGTTATTGTGATGGAGGATGGCGATGATCGGGGATAAAGAACAGTTGTCGAAGAATGGTGATGGTGGGTGTGATGGGGAGGAAATCGGCAAAAAGATGGTGAAGATCGGAATCAAAAAGGGCTTGGGAGAGGCTAACTAGTTGTGGAAGATCGTTAGGGATTTCTCCTTTTTTTTGGGCTGCCAAATCCTCCTTCTCCAATCCCAGATGTGCTTGTGTGGCTAGGGTTCAAGAGAAGGATCGAAATAGAAGGAGAGAAATCATTCTCTTTTTTTTCGTTTTTTCTGGTCTGTCGCCTCCCCCTTTCTTTTGTCCGTTCATCCTCTTTTAAAGAGAAAGGAAAACTACGGTTTTTGTTGTTGGGTTTGGATTTTAATGGGCTGGTTTATGAAATTGGGTTGAGGTTTGAATTAAACTGGTGGTGGGCTCAATATTGGGATTTGGACTGGATTTATGGGTTTGTATTGTTTTTGGGCTGATTTTTTTGAAGGAGTTGGGCCATTATGGATTTGAGGTGTAAATGGGCTGAACTTCAGGGCCTTTGTATGATTTCTGCGATTTGACCTTGAACTTTAAATTCTTTCAATTAAGTCCCCTTTCTTGAATTTATTTTCTTCATTTTCTTCTTGAATTTCTTTTTGAATGTAACACCTAAAATAAAAATAAAAATAAAAATAAAAATATATTAGTTAAAGAAAAAAGAAGAATTCATATTTTTATATTTTTGTGTTTGTTTTGCCATTTTGTAAATTTTTATGATTTTTGATTAATTTTGTGATTTATATATATATATATATTTTAATAAAAATTTGAGTTATGACAATAACCTGTAGAAGCATCACTACATAGTCCAATGATATCTCTTGAATTTGACTCAGAAGTTAGATCAAACTAAAGTTCTTCTACCATTTGCTCACTAATTCTATTTACAACCTTACAACATTTAAAGAATAGAATAAACGGATGTGAAGCTAGAAAAAACATGACAAATGCATAGGCAGGCAACCCTAGGTGGACTATAAAACAAACCTATCCATAAATCCTTGGACTTGATTATAAAAAGCCTAAAACCAAAACAGACTTAAAGGCATTATACTCATTATTGTCCAGAATAGTTGTAGCTTTGCCCAGAAGACCAACTATGGATGTTAACAAAAGTAAAAAAAAAGTATATAATAAGTTTATTAAACACACCTTAACCTTATTCCCAATAAGAAGCAGGAAGTGAAACTCAGACACTACCATGAAACTAGGTTTGACCACTTCTGCACCATTAGACAACTTTGAATAGTCCAACAAAGCTTTGTTCTCCACAAAGTTTTGATCACTATTTGGAGAACTATACAGAAATATTCTAAATAAAAAAATCATAATTAAAGATCAATACAAGAACTACATCAAATAAAAGACTTAAAAAAGGTCAGTAGCAATGAAAATAAGAAAATACGAATACACATTCAAAGATTGAGAGTGAAACAAAGAAGAAAAACTAGTAACAATGCATGACCACTAACAGATGATTAACAAAAGAAAAGGTGTAGGGTTTGATTCTCTACCTAAGCCATGCCCCAAAATTTAGGCCACCATGGTAAATACCTACCCCATAAAGCCATGCAAAATGAACAACTCTTCGTTGCTTCATAGAGAAATGTAGCTCACTGAAAGAAAACCATAATGGTAAAAGAAATTAAATACTCAAAAAGAAAGCTCAAAAGATTTAACAGGTACTAAATATAAAAGAACAAGATTGATTCTAATAACATACCTAAACACAATAATAATAAGATTTCCACTATCCAAGTTTTATTTTCTGTCATAAATATTTCAAAACTATAAAATAAATATATACAAACAAACTTGCTTGTTTGGTATTTCACCAATAAGTTCCATGAAATGCACAGCATGTTCTAGGTAACTAGCAAACACAGTCTATAAATGAAAGAAAATATAAAAATACATGAATATAAAGTTTACTTATTACTGCACTCTAACTCAGAAAATTCTCTATGCAAATAAAAGGTTGTTCAAGTCATTAGAAGAACTCATAGTATAAGACATATCTAGGAAAATGGGCAACTTTTTTCTTATCTTATGATGCTAAATGTATAAGCTTTTACAAGAAATTTACTACACTTAAAATGCTAAGAGCGTGGTCACCAAAATAACATTTTAGAGGGCAACATCCATGTAGGCACCACTGGATATCTATTATACAAAATATCTAGTCAGGAGAAAAAAAGGTGTACTTCAATGCTAAGAAAAGGCTTAGCTAATTGATAAAAGAGAGAATGCATCAAGAACTAAAGAAAACAAGATATGGTCTATAAACTTGAAAGACGAGAAGCCTCCAACTGCCACAAAGAAATGGGTGGTTTTACTAGAGAAAATTATAATCAGCTCACCAAGAAAATGAAACATATAAAACTTTTCATTGCTCAAAGAAGAGTATGTTAACTTTACAACCTGCAATTGACAACAAATGTAACTACTAAAATTAAGAGTTCTCATTAAGTTGAGGGTTCAGAGTAAACCAAATAAATATTTGCATGTGTTGTATGTTTGTGCATACATGTGCTGTATGTTTGTGCATACATGTGCTGTATGTTTGTGCATACATGTGCTGTATGTTTGTGCATACATGTGCATGCATACGTGTGCGTGCATAGTACAAAGAGAAACATCAACAAAAAAGTAACAATTTAGCTTGCAAAATGCAGAATGGCCTACAATGTCATATTTCATTCAGACAATCACTCTTGGACCTCAACTCAAAGAGTATCAAGTGAGCTTAACTTGCCTCTAATGATCCAATTCTAGTGAAACAATACAGTCTTGTAGGAGTAATAGCCATCACATAATATCTCGTACCATTCATTAAACTAGCTATTTCCATCTACGCAGAAATTTAGTTTCAGTAATATAGAAGAACAGAAAGTTTATGTGAATGCTAGCTTTCCTAACTGTCCCATGAGCTATAAACCTATGATTTAAAAAGATGAGAAAAATAAAGAAACATGTTAACAATGAGTTGTAAATCAATACATGAAATCTAGAATTCAACTTCTCTCTACCAGGGATAAAAAGGTTGATAGACCAACTAGCTGCCCATGTGAAATAAAAGAAAATGTTGACAAGCCAAGGCAATAAAAATAGATGTCTATACAAGACCTTATAACTGTTAGTAACATGGTACTAACAAAGAAGAATCAACTTGCATATGGAGCCCACTCTACAAAGAAAGTTGGAATAGTACCTGCAACTCATGATAGCTTTTGGAAATTCTGTTAATTCAAATAAAGGCTTAATTTATTTTTCCTTCTTGTCCTTCTCATCCACAACCAACTCATAGAGTTAGCCATTTTCTGTCCCAAGAATAACTTCCCTTGTAGATGCTGTGTTAAGAAAAAGGAAAGAAATAATAGCATGATTCTAACCCCTAAAACTGGTAAAAATTAGTAATAGGTGCATTAAATTACCTTTTGTTATCTGTTGTTTATTCCAAGCAACAGCATTCACAACTAAACCTTTCAATCTGCCCAATAAACAAGGTTTACTCCACTTTGCATGAGTATAAAAAGTATTAGCAACTCCACCACCAATAACGGTAGCAATACAATAGCTATTTCCAAGATCAACAAAAACTCTATGGATGGATTGCTCACCACTTTAGCCCACAGAGAGATCAAAATTTTCCAAAGAAAAAGAAAAATTAGAAATGCTTCCATCCAATACTAGGTTGTAAATAGATAATTGGGGCCGTTTTCAAGCCAAGCCCTAGGTCATAAAAGCTGGAGGCAATCATGTTACAACTAAACTTTGTAATCACTTACTCACCTCCACTCAGCTAGATAACTTTGAAATATGTTACAAGGTTATCTTATTTGAAGCAAATCAAGAATCAGGTTCAAGGCAAGCCCAATAACACTAAGTTCAAGAAATTGAATTTTTGAAGCTCAGCTTACTTTACAAGCAAATACATGGAAGCATGTTTATTATATTAGTTTCAACTCCAAAAAATGAAATTAGCATAAATTTTGAATATTGCATAGATCTACAAAATCTAGATAAGAGCTTTAGGATAAATCCAATAAAAAAAAGGAACATATTCAACACAAGAAACTAGAAGAGTAAATGCATAAGTGTATAAGGAGAAGAACAATACCATTTGAATCTCCAACCCCAAAATCATATTTGATAACCCACCCTTTGTTTGTTCCCAACACAATTACATCGTTTCCACCTGTCATACAAGCAACAACACTCCGCCCCTTGGCCGCATATCTCTCTAAAAGATCCACAATGAATACCTACCTCTATTGATCCATCTTCCAGCTCCACCTAAACTCCAGTACTACAATAATGAAAATGCATGAAATTACACAAATCAAATTCTTAATTTAATTCAATCCAATCTTGTACTTTGCTTAATTTATGAAAAAATGAACTCAATTACCTTTGATTGGTGATCAACTTGGATAAAATTGATGGAAGTCGAGATTTTGGGCAAAAATACTTTAACTAACAATTTTTGTGATTAACTCTAGGAAAGAAGGCAGACGGTTGTGCAAAGAAAGGGAGAGGTTTTCTAAGTAGGGCTGGGCAAATGCTGGTTTCGGTATTCACCAATACCGATTTTTAACTAACCGAACTTTTTCCCCCTTTTTTAGGACCAAAACCAATATCGAAAGTCCCCTGTTTCTTCGGTATTAGTTACCAAAATTTTAGATTTTATGATTTTCGTTTCGATAGTCACTAGTTATTTAGCACAATACTTTTGCAAAGATGAAGGGGAAATTGAAGAAGATGTTGGATCAAAAACTATGAGTAGATATGAGGAGAGAATCCATAAAAACGAAGGGACAAAAAAAAAACGCAACAATGACTTTGGACAAGAATATAGCATCGGTAACCCGAAATAGAAGAAAAACGAAGATTTGGGTTAGGCTGAAGACAGTAAGAGCCATGGTTGTTAACATCGCAAGTTGAATCATAAGATCATGCGATCTTACTATGTTAACTGGGTTCAGTGATCTAAATTGTACAAAAATCTAGGATCTTGAATAGAAAATCAAAAATCACGATCAAAATTGTGAGATATGTAATTTTAAATGATTTTAGAAACCAAATCTTAAACAACTTTGGAAACCAAATCTTAAACGACTTTAGAAACCAAATTCTTCTAGGATTATAAATGATGCCTAATTTTTCATATAAATCTTCAAAATTAGAAACTAAAAGGTCTGCCAACCTCTTTATCTCCTCTGGCGATGGCGGATACAATAATAACATCTCCATCTCCAGATTGATCATCGTTGTCGTTGGTTTTGTGTTGTCGTCGGTGCTTCATTGCCACTGGGTTGTCTACATTGCCACTAGGGTGCTTGCATTGCCGTTACTGTTGTTGCCTGTGTTGCTACTACAACTTGCCGAGTTGTCCCTGCGTTGAAAACTAAAACTCCAATTGTATTGTACTTTCTTTCTTTTGTTTTTTGTCTTGTCTTTTTTTTTTTTCTTTGAATCTTTTTAATTGTAGTTTAATCTTTTTAATTGTTGTGTTTATTTTTTATATGTAAAACTATTGTATTAATTTTTACAATAAAAACATATTTACATTTTACTTGTATAATATAATTATTGTTTTTTATTTAAAATATTGTAGATTTATATGATTATAAGTTAGTATTATTAAAATTATTTAATACAAAATCATAAAATTACTATTTATATAATAATTTATGAAAACATAATTCAATCATCTTGAATTTCACTTAATTTATGAAAAAACGAACTCAATTACCTCTAATTGGTGATCAACTCGGATAAAATTGATGGAAGTCAAGATTTTGGGCAAAAATGCATTAACTAACAACTTTTATGATTAACTCTAGTAACGAAGGTGGACGGCTGTGCAAAGAAAGGGAGAGCTCTTTTAAAATCAAACTCTACTTTTATGAGATTGATCTTTGCATCTGTATCAACATCGTTACGGGTGAGAATAATAGAATAGGGTGGATTTGAGAAGGTTAAAATACCATTTGGTCACTCAACTTTTAAATTTGTATCAAATTCATCCTTAAATTCTATAAAATACCAAAATTATCCTTAAACTTCTATTCTTAGTACCATTTCATTTTTTCATGAGTTTAACAAGATCACTGTCTTTAGTCCACTATGGTCATATTCTGAGCATAACCTCATTTCCTACAGAGACAAGGATGCTGCAAACAAAGCAAGCTAGGCGTGTAGAGTGGCCAATGCTGCATCGAATTTTGCATCTTTGCAAAGATACATCTATACATCTTTACATTTGTTTGGGCAGCTCCACAAGTTCACTTACTATTGAGATCTTAAACTATTTTAGTACTTAAAAATACCAAGAAAGCATCTTCAAAGAAGACATTATGACGCTTAAATTACAAACTCCCAAAATTAAATATCATAGAGAGAAACGCAAAAGAATTATTATGTTACATGAAGATAGATAGAGGTATTTATAACTCTCATTTATGACACATGTGCCACATGTCATTGTTTAATTGGTCCATGTATTAGTGATGAAATTACCATTATTCAACTCATTCTTGGGTGTTTTTGCTAATGTTGGGTTGACTCCCAACAACATTAAATCAAAATTTCAAATCCGAAATTGGATTTGAAACAATGCCATTTCTCATTGTTTACTTCGGGATGAAATCGAAACAGTCAAATCTCTTAAGTTGGAGGAAAGATGAGTCATTTTTTATTGGTGACTTGGGGATTGATCAAAGCATCGAAGGTGAATTATATAGTTAGAAGGGAAAGGGAAAATGTTGTAAGAACATATTTACAGTATATTGTAAAATTTTGGATTGCCTTTATTGTCCATTATGGTACATTTAACTTTCATGACAACACAATCTGCTACTTTTGACAAACATATATTTGCCTTTCAGTAGGTCTTTCCAGTCAACCTGGCATACTTAGTATATCAGAAGAGACTAAAGAGGAGGTTAAGGTTGGGTTTTCTGTGAGTTTGCTTGTAAAGATTCTACCACAATTCATTCTACTTTTTAAAAACATAAAGCAAATTATTGAAAATTTCTGATGTGGAAAAAGGCGGAAGACTTGAAAGAGCTTCTGACCAAGAAGTCTTCCTTCTCTCCAAGATTAAGGCTATGTTTGGGATTGCACCTGTGATTTTTCTTATAATTATATACTATTTTTAAATATATATTCTTCATTATTTTTTAAAAAAACTATAACAAATCATAGTAAATTCATAATAATTATATATATAAAATCGAAAATCTTCTTTTGAAACTTTTTGGTTATTGTTTCATGAAGAACACTTAACATTTAATATAATTACAAAATTATCCAATAAAACCTAAACTCATTTAATTAAATTATATCATAATTTATAATATTTTATTTAAATCCAACCTCCCATTTATTTAAAACTTTCATAAGAAATTAAAAACTTATTCCCTCCTTAAGAATTACTCTTTTGTGAAACAAAAAATAACACCTATTATATATAACCTAAAAAGCCTAAATCTAATTGCAATAGATATTTGAAATATTAGAGTTCCTCAAACAAAATATTTGAAATTGATTAGAATGTTAGAAATATTTGATCTTTGGTTAAATTATTAAGAAATAATAAATATTATCTATTTTAATAATTATACATCATAAAATATTTTTTAAAATTTAATTAATAATTATTAAAATTTATCATATATCATTCATAATATTTTTAAAAAATAATTAATTAATTATCAAA